GTCAGTCGGGAGGTGTCATCCAGATTCCAAAAGGTTCACCGACCTCTTGGATATCCAATGACTGGTGCGGTGACCAGTGATAGTGCCACAAGCAGATGCTCCTGCCTCGTGCATGGCGGCCGAGATCCTACTCCACTGAAGCTCAGAGTCATGAGGGTAATATAGCGGACGTTCGGTATGCAGTGTCTTGATATGCTTGCCTGACCGAGGACTGAGACAACTTCTCTTTGCCAATCGGAGGGGACGCTTGGTGCGCCTCCGGGAAAAGTTCATGGAGAAACGACAGCGTACCAAGGCATGATCAGAGTAGACACAGGTACTCAAGTACGAGCGGCTATCCGGGATGGAACCACGCCACTTGTAACTTATGGCGGTGTGGAAAAGTTGGGTCCACCGCTGGCAAGCTACAGGACGCCAAGTGACACTTCGGCGTCCACTGTGTCTAAAAGAGGTGCTAGTAAGAAACAACTGGTGCTCCGCACATAGTTGCAGTCGACGCTCACCGTTGTCAGTCCGTTCGGAGTTAAGCCCGTAGTTATCACCCAGCTGAGCTTCTGAAGAGTTCAAACGCCTTACCTGTGCGTTCATATCCCATGCAAGTATTATAATATCTGAACTAGTAGCACCGCGTAATAGCGTGTTCAGTTAGTTATAGAATGTGACCTTGACAACACCTAAACTGCAGCCGGTGAGGGCATAAACGGAAATCACAAACAAACAGCGTTTTGCACTACGTTGTGTATCAACCTTAGCTGATGTCGTCAAACGGGCTGCACATAAACGGCTGTTCACTGGAATCCAAGCAACCAAAGATTGCACAGCGTTGGAGCTTAGAATGGTACCTACACCAGCCCGACCCGTGAGTGCTGTATCGGCGGCTCCGGATGCGTGTAGATAATAAGGAGAAAACAAGCCGGGTGCAGTTATTTCAACAAATCCATCAGGGCCCTTGATCCTAGTTGCGGACACACACAACACACATCATTACCCAGTGTGTCTTACATGTGTGCGAGTGCAGCCTGTTGACCTACTTATCTTGGAGTGTGAACACTGGACATCGCCATGAAAATGGGACAGTGTGGCTTTATAAGGGGCTGTTGCCAATAGGCCTCCGATAGGTGTTATGGGATAGTGGCTGCAGATGGTTCTACTTCAGCGGCACTTCGGTTGCTGTCAACTAAGCTGGGAATTATTGAAGGAAGGTTAGTAAGGAGGGTCGGGAGGGGAGTAAGAGGCAAAGGTGGAAAAGAAAGGAGGCGCCAGCAGTAACATGCTTTCGCTTAACCACCCTGCTGTATGCAGCAGATAAGGTGACCTTTGATAATCTGCGCGACGGCCGATGCAGGATGAAGTTTACGTTTGAAGAAAATGTCATGGTTGTATGTGGGCTGGAATACTGCCAGGGCGAACAGACCTAGACAGGGGGGGATTAGGGTCCTCATCCAAAGCCTTTGGCTCAGAAGTCTGTCCGCAAGGCAGTGGGGAGGTGGCAATGATTTAGTTTTACATAAAAGTATGCTATCCCATTTCAAAACCCCAACCTGGAGGACTAGGACACTGAATTTGTCTGACCTCTCACCAATGACCGACCTGGTGGGAGTAACTCTCAAGGTGTGCGGGGGCATCACCCATCATCATCATCATCATTATACACGTCAGCTAGAGGTGGGAAACGCTCCAGCTAGTGTGCCGCAATATATAAATGAAAAAGAAATACAAAGGTTGCATGCCAGCTGAGCTACCAGCAACGGATAGGCATCGTTCCGGCAAGCTACCAGACGGCTAACAGGCAAAAAGAAATTATTGTGTTACGCTAAGAAATGAGATCGTGGGCGGGGGGAAAGGCTAAAAGGGATGGGGAGGGACAAAGAAACTCACAGCACGAACGCCACTGAGGTCGGCTCCTTGCCATGTCAGCAAGTGTATCCAGCCAAACGTGTTCACCGTCTTTTGGACTCCAACCAGGGAGCCGTGACGCTCCAACCGAGGTCAACACAGAAGTGAGGGCCTTCATTCCTCTTGACCAAGTCATCGCTTGACCATCCCTCCTCTTCTTCCATCCACATCCCCGGTGAGCAAACAACGCACGTCGTGGAAGTTGATGGGCTAGCATGCGCAACGCGTGGCCCAGCCATCGGAGCCTGGTACGTGAAATGACGGTGCTGAGCGGTTCAGTTCCTTTTCCTGTACCGTAAACAAGGCGTCGAACACGCTCGTTACTGACGAGGTGTTCCCACCAGATGTGAGCCAAACTGCGAAGGCACCGATGGTCGAACGTAAGTAGCCTCTTCATTTCCGCCGATCTTAGGGGCCAGGTTTCGCAACCGTACAGTAAGGTCGAACGTACCGCTGCATTGTACACTCTACACTTCATGGTAAGAGTGATGTCGCGCCGCCGCCGTAGGTGGCGAAGACTAGCAAAAGCACTTCGAGCTTCTGCTATCCGGTTCGTGATCTCGTCTTCGATCTCAAGAGCGATGATACAACTTCCCAGGTAGTGGAATTTCCGAACGACTTCTAGCTGATCCCCACCAATGGTCAGCGCAGGAGGCGATCCCTGCCAATTTTGGAGGGACGCTTTGCATTTCGATGGTGCAAAACAAAGCCCGAAGCGGCTGACAGCCAGTGCTAATCGGTCCAGCGTGGACTGGCACGTCTGGGAGCTGTCACAGATGAGGGCAATGTCGTCTGCATACTCCAAGTCAAGAAGTCGTTCTCTTGGGAGTAGCTCCACACCTTCCAAGCCATGTCCTGTAAATGCAATCTCCACAACTTCGTCAATAGCGAAGTTCAATGAGGTACGCAAACCGTCGCACCACGTTAAGGTCCAGTCTCGTCCGTTGTACATGACCTGAAGACACAGCTGTTGAGTGAATTCTGAAACACAAGTCAGAGGTCCGCTGAGTTCCACTGCCAATTCGTGCAACAATTTTGGATGAACAGAGTCTGGTCTGGAAGCCTTAGTTGGGTTCACCTCTTTCAGTAACCGGAGAACTTGAGACTCAGTTACAGGAATTACATCCAGACAAGAGTCCTAAGACTCTTGAAGCTAATTCTCTGCATGGCGTATTTGTTTCGAGAAAAGACGCTTGAGTATTGCTAACCAAACACAAATGCCTTGTCATAGTTGCTATAAGCATGGGTCTCATCTCGAAGCAACGGTTGTATGGGCGAGTATGCACCACAGCGCCGTTTAACGTAGGCGAAGAATTTCTTGGGAATTGTCGAGGCAGTATCAGCTAAGCCCATTTCATACTGAAGCCGGGCCAATCTAAGACGTAGCTTGCGCTCATTTCGAGCCAACCGATACCTGTCAAACGTGTTGTTCGACGGAGCTGTTCGATACGCTCGCCAGCATCTAGACCGCCTCTTTAGCAGGCCCTTCACCGCGGAATGTATCCACGGAGGCTGCGCTCTCGATTCCCTTCCTTTTACCAGTGGGATGTGAGGTAGAGAAGTGTCGATGAGCTGAGCCTTAAGTTTGTCTGACACTGTGATCAATACCGGTCTCAGATAGCACACAAGGCGATGACCTAGCTTTATCCAGCATCGCTTGGAAGTTCGCGGTCCAAATGTCCGGATACCAACTGCCGGTAACTTAGCAAGGCTTGATAAGGGTACACTGGAAGGACAAGCGAACGTGATCGCTGGCGCCAAAAGGCGTCGTAAGTAGTGTCATTTACAAAGTCAAGTGACTTAACAAAAACATGATCTAAAATGGAAGGCTGCTGATTGCGCATGCTCTTAGTTGGGAGGTCCACGAACTGATGTAGTGGTACCTGCAGCGTCAAGTCCAGCAGTTCTGCACCGAACAATCCCAGTGCCGAACTGCAAGATAGATACGTCCAATGAAACTCTGGGAGGTTGAAGTCTCCCGGCACCAGACACTTGTTCGCAGAGTGAGTGCGTATAAACTCAATGATTTCATTGGAGCTGCTCACAGGGCTTCTATACACTAATATGACCGTAACCTGAACCGAAGCGCAAATCAAGACTGCGAGAGCCTCAACAGGTTTTTCAAGAGACTGAAAAACGCTGGTCATCAATACGTTGATGTGATAACTCACATAAAGAGCTACACGACCCCTTGACGGCCAATGGAGCGGTCAGCGCGGAAGTGTGTAGCCAGGCAGATATACTTCGCCATCTGTAATTTCCTCAGCCACGTTTCAGTGAAAGCAATTATATCTGCATGAGATTTGTCTAGGAGCAGACCCACCGCACAGTGTTCCTCAGGCTACGCACATTACTAAGTACTACTTGGAGGACTTCGGCACGACCAGCCCTAAGCAGACGGGGTCGAGGATTTGGTTGATCTACTGGAACGTTCCCCAATCTGATGAGCTTCCTGACCGTAATGCCAGGAAAACCTGTTGGTAAAATCCTGGTCACGCAAACTATAAGCCAACCAAGATCATCAATCATGCGCTCGGTGGGAACCGAAGGCGAGGACACTTCATATCTCACTGAGGGGATTGCAGCACCAAGTAGTGTTTCCAGCTCAGGCGCTTGCCACTTGAGTGTTTTATCACTTACCGGTTTGGGTGCAGATGGTTTGCGCGATATCCTTGCCCTCTTACGATTATTACTTTTGGCTCAGGAGCCCGACTCGCCTACCGTTTATGTCAGCAATGCCTTAAGGGAACCCAAAGAACTGACAAAAGGTACTCTTGTAATATGCGTCCGATCGAGGATTTTGAGAGCTTCCGTTTCCGCGGGCGTACGTGGGTCGTGTTATACCGAGGGGGCTGAAAGGCAAAGACACTTCGTAGACGGCTGGAATACCACCTAGTAAGTGTCGGAACTGGATGAACGGTGTGCTAGTGTCATATCTGGTGGCTATCTGAGAGGTACTGTCACAGTTGCCCGTAGAGGACTGAGCGCGATAGATGGCGTGAAAGCGCAGGATTGGTGCCTACCCCAAGATAGAAGACAAATGAAAAGGTGAAGAGAAGAGGAGACGAAGCTCACAATAAAGGATACGCTAGACGATAACTTACTTGGACCTAAGTCGCAGTTGTTATAGCAGTTGCCACTGCGACGTCGCAGTGTACACTGAAGCACTACAACTCCATATTTACACCGTTCAAGGTCAAGGTCAGGACAGGCCACATTCCAAGGACGGTAAAAGCTTCAAAAGAGTGCTCTGTTTCTTCCACTGGCATGAGAACAATAGCCCCGGTACTTCGATGCCTGCTTAACGTCCGCGGATTCTGCAACCTATTGAAGCAAAAGCAATAGCATTATCTGTATCATCACACATTTCGTTATTACAATGATTTGAATCAATAAAATGGCAATAATTCCGAATATTGGTTCAGTGTTTCATTGGGAAGTATCGAGCAGTTTGGAGGTCCTTTGCCAGCTCCATCACTTCCCAATTATTCCTGGGATGCTCGCGTCATGGCGCAAAGCAAACTCCAGACAGGCCGTCGCACACCTAGCTGAAGCAACGCGATCCCGGCGTACTCAACAGGTGGGAATCAAGTCGTCCTTTGAAGCAATCCTCCGTCTGCACATCAGCGACGGGCCACCTGTTCGGAACACGCACAAAGCTCGTGCACAAAGCAAGCATGGACCGCACTTGAGTTTCCTTGGTTGGAATATTTTCCATCGGTGGCCTCTAATCGAACTCCAAACCTAGAGGTGGAAGAATTCCTGCAAGTCGCTCTCCAGCTTTCCTCTGAAATAGTCGGATAAAAATAGAATCTCCGCGGTGACGACGGTAATCCATAGAAAGTAGATCCAAATGTCGAAGCTGTAGGGGATATGGCAAGTCACGGATCGCAGCCAGGAAATTCGTTTCAGCCCGTCGGAGCTTTTCGGTCGTCTCCGTCAAAGTGGGCAGGACGGAACTAGTCGGTGACCGAAACTGAATCGACCAAGTGTGCAGAGGCCCCAGCGTTACTTGTAGTCCATCAGGAGCCGCCAGAGAGGACACCTCCGTCTATACCTTCAGATCATCCGCATAATCATGCAATCCGATGGAAGCTCAGACGACCGATCGTTCATGAAAAGGTTGAAGAGCTCGGGGCCGAGAGCGGAGCCCTGGAGGGCCCCGCATTCATATGTAAGCATCGGAAAAAGTTTCGTTCACGTTCACCGGCATGGAGAGACCGTACAGTAAATTGGAACTTCACGAGTGGAAGTTTCCAGCGACGTCGGTTCCTCTGAGTTTGAAAGGAAGGTTTTCAGGGAGGACCTTATCAAAAGCCTTACTGAAATCCACAAACAAAAAATCAAGACCATTGCCAACCTCCAATGAATGTGCCCATTTCTCCTTAGCCACAAGCAGGTTAGTAGTGCATGAGCGAGCCTTGCGAAAACCTTGCTGGGCTTAAGTTGTTAGATCAGACCTGTCAAGCTGAAGGCGAATTGCTCGATTCAAGATCCGTTCCATGATTTTGCACTATCGATTAATCTAAATGGAACGGTAGCCGGTTGGAGCTTGTCGGTGCCATACTTTGTGTATAGGCCTCATTATGCCTATCTTCCAAGCATTCTGGAGAAGCTCGGACTAAAACGATCGCGAGATAAGTGCGGCAATGTACTAGACCACAGTCTTGAGGAACAAAGGGTGCAAGCGGTCGGGAACAGGCGATAATCAAGGGTCCAAACCACTGAGACGTTTTAACACGACGTAAGTGTTAATGTCGAAGTGCTCTAACAACGAAGGGCGAGTGCACTCCAAACTGCTAGAGGACGACGCTGCTGTCTAATAGAGTGAAGAATATTGCCGCGCAAGGAGACAGTTTTTTGGGCATCTTCGTTAAATGAATACTCATGCTCCCAGGAGTAGAGGGTAGGGATACCACTGACGGCTCGGGTGCTCCGTTTGAGGCAGAAGAGCGTCTTGGGAGTCTCTCGAGCGTGTGGATAGGGCGAGTTCGTACGGTTACATTGCTCCCGTTTTTCATGGTGCAGTCTTTCCTAACCCGTTCCTAACCGGGTGCGTCTTGCTCTGATCGTGTGAGCCTGAAGCGGTCCTACATATTTCTTCTTTGTTTCATGGATCTCAATTCCCGAGCTATCCACCGAGGGCCTCTAAAGCGTGGTCAATTTGTGGAGATGGGGCAAGTCGTTCAATGAGGGAGGTCAGCCTAGAGTACAGAGGCTTCCAGGCACCGGCAGCATTGAGAAGTTCGGGAACACCCGAAACCATAATACTTGCAACCGTTTTAGGACTAAGAGTATTTGCCCACCAGAAATTTCGGCGGACTGTATCTGGGTTGTGGATGGTAAAGCGACGTGTCCACTGAAATAACCCACCACAATGACCGCTTTCACCAATGTGCTAAAGGACTGTTAGGTCCATGACGTCTGACTGCGCTGGGAAGAGCACAAGAGCAAAGATACGTGGCAAATTGCAGGCGAGGATACGGTTCGGCATGGAGACCTTGATACAGAAATCAGTCGAGGACGGTTTTGAGGCAATCTGCATCAAATTAATCAGGTGAAGGATTGCAAAGCAGGTCGCAGTCGGTAGTAGGAGATTTGAACACCCAAACGATGAAGCACGGTTCCTGCACTGTGATTACTGATCAGTTCTAACAGGCGAGATGTCATCTACAGAGCGCCACTGAGCGCTCAGTGGACGACGCCAATCAAGGAGGATCTGCATCCTTCATGTATGCGGCACCAAAGAGCATCGAATTCACCGTCATCGTCACAGTAGACGTTAACTGGTTGAGTCTTCAAATGTGTTCTCCAGTAGAGTATTTCGCTGCCACCCGGCCTCCGGCATGACGATCAGCCCGAAGAAGGTGGTATCCAGGGTTGGACACTTCAGCGTCAATGATTTCTGGGAATAACCAAGCCTCGGTGAATGCCATTAAGTCAGGACACACCTTGGCGGCAAGCATCTGGATCTCATCATCTTTAGCTCGCAGACTACGTACATTGGCGACGAACACACAATCCGTTCTTATGTGTGCCACTCCTGGTAGAACGAAAATCGGCCTCCAAGGGGTTCCCGGAGTTTTCAGAACTACGCAAAGATCTGTGCCATGCAGGTCTGTTTCACCACTGGCCTGACGGGTTCTCTGTTAGTTAACCGTTTTTCCTTTTCACTCGATCTTCCGGGGAGCCATCCGCATATATAAACGCCCTTTGTGACGTGCGTTCCGTCGGAGAATGCGCTGCCATTATTCCCCGTCTTGGCACGCAAGGTTAAGTGGGCGAGCCTTCAGGGAATCCTCCTGTTTGCTACCCAAGTGAAACGCCGAGATAATATTGGTCCTTGTTCGCTTTCCTCGAATAAACCAAAGATCAACCGTTCAAGTAATACTTGATCATCTGACATTCTTCTGGCTGGAATATCCTTGGTTGAATCAGTCGTGTTCATGATGATGAGACATCGGTCACAGGAGGGTGGTTTGGCAAGCCTAGGAATTTGTGCTCACGTAGGCTTTGCACTGCCTTTGCTCAGTGTTTCCAGCTGGTTGATGTTAGCAAAAACAGCTTTTCACCGTGAGTGTGAAGAGGAAAGCTTGAACTCAGGTTTAGACTTCGTCTTAGCGTTATACACAGCTGGGATCTGTATACCAGAACTGTTATTGCTTTCCCTTGGAACCGCTGCGAATGTCGGTCTTGGGCCCCCTGTGGTGGACGTATCCCAGTAACTCCTAATAAGAGTCAGACGGCCTGCAACTTTGATTATCTGTTAAGGACTTTGTGGCAGAGGCAGAAGGAGTGAAGGAGAAAGAACCAGGAGGCTCCAGGTGGCGGGTGCTCCGGGATTCGTTAGCATGGGGTTTGAGGCAGAGCCAGGGGAGTCTATTCACAAGACATCCGTTACTTAATGAGGTACGGCATACCTCACAAACGTACACAATAGCTGGTGAACTCATCAACTCTATGGACTTGTATTGATCAGCATCGATGCCACGACAAACGATATGCATCCACCCGTCACCTTCAGAGCACTGTGCGGCTTTTGAACGCGCAGTGACATCTTTAACACAAGATAAGAAGTTGGACGCCAGAAGAGAAGTATTCCAACTACTCAACAGGTGCTTCTCCAGAAAACGATGCCGATTTGCTATCCCTCACTAAATTGACTTCGGTGGAACGGAATACTTAAGTGGGAGTCAGAATTGTTCTGACCAACAAACTTAATCAACTATATTTGTCATATTTTACGTTTATGTTTTCCACCTAATTATGCCCAAGTACCGACCGCATTTCGAAGAGAGTTATTTTAAAAGGCTTTTCATTTATTTTTACTCGAAATCACTACAAACATCATTGTTGACTTTCCTAATGCCATCGCTTTTCTTCGCTATTTCCATGAGCCTACCATTCATCGGGGCCGTAATTTACCTAAAATGGCTAACGGAGCTGGAATAATTATCGTTGAGAGACGGCTGCTAAGGCGCTGGTGCTGCACTGGCCCTCCAAGAATAAATAAACTCAACTCCATTATTACCATGCAAGTTCATGTGGTTACTGAACATTATGATCCGAATCCTCGGGGGCACGACTTCTAGCTCAGTCTAGAAACATACCTTGATTTATTTATTTATATCTAGGCCAATTTTAAAGGATCCTACGGTGCTACCTTTTATTAAAGCTGGATATAGCTTATTCCGGCTAGTGTCCACGCGATTCTCGAAGAATTTCGCTCTGATATCCAGCGTAGATCACTGATGCTTACGCTACAGTTGTCGTTCTCGCAGGTGGTCTGAGCTGGGTAGCATAATCCGTACAACAAATTGGATGCCGCCAAAAACTTTCACGATGTTAAAGGTCTCTAGTTAGTCCCATCTTAATCTGCGCCGTTCCAATGAATACAAGCCTAAGCTTCTTAGGCACTAAAAGTATGCTTTTTCACATAGACCTCAATCATCTTAGTCACCAGGTTTTGTGCCTCTTCTAACTGGGCGAAGTCTTTCCGGTGGTCCGGTGGTCCGGTGTCCAGGCCTGCGTACAATATTCTAGATAAAGACTTGCTACCACTTGGTATAAGGGAAGAATACCGCAGCTCTTGTGCTGCATAGAGATCTTCTGAGGGGAAATTGATCATTCCGCACTTTACTGGTGGAATGCTTGCATTAAGCTGAAGGTTTTTCTTTCTTCGTAACAATGATGCAAAG